AACTCGCCGGCAGCCTGCGCATGTTCAGTGACGGCGACAGCTGTGTCGGATGTTTTCGTGGCGAGGGATGCAGCGCGGGCATGGTCGTGTGCCTTGGGATATCAGTGTCAATAGCTGTGTGTTTGCCTGCTCATCAAATCGAACATATGCCATACCTTTGTCAGCGCGGCAGACTCCATCTTCGGAGAAGCGCGCGGTGCATATCAGAAAAAGAGCAAATGAGGTTAGTGGGTGACACTGCGGCGAATGGAGATATTCGTGATGACGGATTGGCGGGGACAGAGGACTTCAGGGAGCTGGTCGGCGGAAGGCGCACATAGGGCTGGGGGATTGGCGGGGAGGCTTATCTTATCGCAAGACCCCCCCTGGCTCGTGCCCTGTCCATCTGCCGCAGCCAGTCCTTCGCTTGGTGCGACAACGATGGGAACCTTGCGGTCGGTGCAGCACGAGTTTGTCGCATTGGGATGGAACCAGACCCAGCAAAGAGGGGCCGTCCGTTACTCCCTCTATTAATTAATCTCGGATTTGAAACGTCATGAACTTCCAGGAAAGGCACCTTACTTGATATTCATTGCGCATTCCATCTTCGACAACAATTCTTTATCGTGATCTATCAAGGCCAACCTCAGCAACTTTCTCGCCTTTCAAGCCTTGGATTATCCAAGTGGCCGTTTCTTGGCATCTCGGCCTATGACGATGCCATCATAGGCAGAGAGCTATCTGTACCTCGTCTCTGAACCACAAGTCTCACTCGGCGCACAACTCTATCTTCGGCATCTCTAGCACCCGCAACGCGCAGCAAATCCACCTCCTGCGAAGACCACAGACCTCGATCCAGCGCGGGTGCTGCACTGGCAGACAAAAATGGACGGCACCTCAAACGGGCTGGGAAAGCTACTGCCAAAGTCCATTGCGGCAAAACGGCGGCGAAACAAGGCCTCGTCCATTTACAGCAGCACCAGCAACGATGATGTCGCGCCGCACAGAGGGCACGACAACCCCAACACCGATGGCCCTGCCAGCGAAACCAGCTCTCTGCGCCGCACCGACAGCCAGCTCAGCGAGGAGAATGCCGATTTGATTTCTTTCGAGTCTGACACTGCATCGTGAGTCTCTTCATCCTTGATTTGCCCCTTTTTACCCCCTTCGCAGGGCTTCGTCATGCAATTTTGTCCAGCCTTGTCGAGATCTCTTGGCGACCCTTCAGTGGGGATCCCCGCCTCTAATTACGAAAAGCTAGCACCTGATAGCCTGGAAGGGAATCGGGCCCGGGCACTTATCCGCGTATGCGCAGCTCCGGTCCACATCCACCTTACCTGACCTCTTGGCTCTCGTCGTCAACCAACCTGTGCCTCCCACAGGCGGCGTTTCTGCTGCTCGTCGTTGGCCGTCGTCATCAGCCTCTCCCAAACCACGTTATTAATTACCGGTCCTTCCGGATACACGCTCGTCTTGCATTGTTTTGTTTTCATTTGTGATTTCACCTATATCGTCAACTGACACCCATGACATTCGCTCGCTAGGCCAGACATCCGTCCCACCGCTATCTCAGTCCATCCGTCCCAGATCGGGCATCTAACTACATCCTCGCCGCTCGTGCAGGAGAAATACAAGCCAGAGTCGCAAACTTCAGACGTGCTGCCATCTGAAATATCCAGATTATCGACCCGATCCTCGACCTTGCCCCAAGACTCTTCAGATAGTCTCGAGTCTGCGCCCTCGCTGAGAAAGTCCCGAACCCAGAACCTCCTACATCCCGATTCCGATCCACCGAGAAGGTCTACGTCTGGAAACCGACTCAGAGACGTTTTTCGCTCAAAAAAGGGCTCGGAAAAGGGCTCCAGTGACGAGAAAACTTCGTCTGAGCAGCCTTCGCCGGCACCCAAACTTGAGTCTGAACCCAAGGCTTCGACTGGCCGTAACCGCGCCCTCTCACGCGGTCCCAAGTTGGAACCTTTGAAAGCCCCGCCGCAAACACCACAGACTCCGCCGCATGGAGAGCCGACTCCGCCAGTGATCGTGAATACCCCTCCCACTCCAACCGATCCACAGCTGCCCGTCATTGTGGCGACCAGCAGCAGTCCTCGTCGTTCAGCGAATGCGTCTCCCGTGGGGAATATGATAACACAACGAAGAAGAGCAGGGTCAAATGCAGGCCCAAGCAAACTATCGACAATAACATCCGCCCCCCTTACGCCGACGCCAGAAGCTGGACCAGCCTCACCAAATCCTGCTGCCACGTTCTTCTCGTCTATGTTTTCAGCCGTTCAGAATACTGCCAACTCTCTTAGCAATACCATCTCAACGGCGAACCTAACTCCTGGGAACAAGTCTAGGGCCGGGACACCAGCCCAAGAAACCGATAGGGAGCAACAGCAGCAGCAGCAGCAGGACGGTGTCGAGGTTGAATCCTCGTCCATGCCAGATTTGTCTTCAGAATCGAAAGAGCCAGCCGTGAAAACGCTCGGCATGGGTGATCTCAGTCTCAGCCAGCTTGGCATCGCTGAGACACCGAGCAATGCTCCAAGTCCGGTGGCTTCAAAATTTGCAGATCCCGATTCGAGAAACAGATCAGAACCAGCACCGGATCCTCATCCCGCTCTTGCGGAAATTGCGGACGACTCACATCTTTCACGGCCGAGATCGTTGTATTCTGCCAATGGAGATCGCACGCCCCCGGCAGGGAGTGTATGTGAGGGTAAATCAGGTGTTCACCGGAGCGGAAGCATTCGCAGCGCTCTTGGTCACCGCCGAAAGCGAGGCAGCAGCATAGCTACACACAACACATCCGCGAGCGCGATCGGCGCTGCGATCTCAGCTGCCAGCACCTCTCTTGCTAACCCGAACGCTGCGGGAAGCACCCCGAAGCTTACTGGATTTGCTGTCGCTACTAAGAAACGCAATCGTGATTTTCATACTCTTTTCAAAAGCGTGCCCGACGACGATTATCTAATTGAGGACTATAGCTGCGCTCTACAGCGTGAGATCCTGGCCCATGGCCGGTTATACATATCTGAGGGACATCTCTGCTTTAGCAGCAATATCCTGGGCTGGGTGACAACGCTGGTGATGAGTTTTGATGAAATTGTCTCAGTGGAGAAGCGGAGCACGGCGTTGGTGTTCAAGAACGGCCTGGAGATTTCTACCCTACATGCCAAACACATCTTTGCCTCGTTTGCGAGCCGTGATACGACATACGATCTCATCATCAAGATCTGGAAGCTTGGCCATCCTCACCTCCAAAGCTCACTCAATGGCGTCCGACTCGAGGAGCCAGGCGGCGACCGTACTGAGAAGGTTGATGTGGAGAACGTATCTGTGGCAGGGAGCCAGAGTATCTCCGGATCCGATGACGAGAGCGTTGATGGGGATGGCGATGAGGACGATGTGTACGATGAGGACGAGGAAGAGGACGATAGCCAGGAGACGAGCTTGCCGGCTGATGCAACTTCAGAGGCCCCTGACAAGGCTGCCACCCGCAAGGTATCTGGTGCAGCCCTCGCGTCTTCGGAGAAGCCGGATGAGAGTGCCCCCGCGAGTGGTGGTGATTTCCCCGGTCCTGCTACTCATGCGCCGACGGATTGCGGTGATGAAGCAACACATTACGAAAAGATCTTGGGCGACGAGACTATCCCCGCGCCGCTGGGCAAGGTCTACACATTGCTCTTTGGTCCTGGCTCGGCCGCATGGATGGGCAAGTTTTTGACCGTTGACCAAAAGTGTCTAGATCTTCAGATGGAGGACAAGCGAGGTCTCACCGGGGAGGTCAAGACACGGACGTTCACGTACATCAAGCCTCTTAATGCCTCGATAGGACCCAAGCAGACAAAGTGCATCGTTACGGAGCAGTTAGAATCGATTGACCTCGAAAAATCTGTCAACGTCCTCTGCAGTACTCAAAACCCCGATGTACCAAGTGGCAACATTTTCGTGGTTAAGACAAAGTATTGCCTTACATGGGGTGAGAACAATGGCACTCGTGTCCAAATCAACTGCACTATCGAGTGGTCTGGCAAGAGCTGGCTGAAGGGTACGTTACTCCTGAGACAATCAGTTGGTTCTGATATGCTAACATCAGCGGTGTAGGTCCCATTGAGAAAGGCGCAAACGATGGACAGACGCAGTACTGCAAGGACCTCTTTGCCAGTCTGCGAGCAGCCATATCTTCTCGACCACGGTCTAGCGCTCTCGGCGGTAATGCTGCAGGGGCCCGTGGCAAGAAGCGTGGACGCAAGGCGAAGTCTGCGCTGGCCTCTAACCAAGCCAGCGACGTGGAGAGTGTTGCCAAGGTGCCCGTCAAGGAAAGTTGGTGTCTGTTTGAGCCTGCGCGGCCGTTTCTTGGCCCCGTGGTTGATATCATCAGGCCTATTCTTACCGGAAATGTGGTGTACGGGTTGCTTGTCGGCCTGCTGGTGGCTAGTTGGTTCGGGTTTGGTGCTCGGCAAGGACCAGCGCTTTATGGCCGCGACATCGGATTCGCAAACTACCCACAGCGACTTGCGGCTTACGAGGAGATGTGGAGTAGGGAAGAGAGTGAATTGTGGGAATGGATTGAGGAGAGAGCTGGGCTGGACCGGCTGAACGGTGGCAGCATGCCAGTGTCGAGAAAGAGGACCGTTGACCCGAGGACTGTGGAGGAGAAGTTGCGGGAGGAGAGGATGGATGAAAGAGAGCTTCAGGAGGCGATCAGAGTTACGGAGGAGCATCTCCAAGTTTTGAAATCGGTTGTGAACAGGAAGGAGAAGGGCGAGGGGGCGAGTGATTGATTTCTTTTGGAAGCAGAAAGGGCGGCAAATTCTTCAGTCGTACTGGATCGGGTTTGGGGTTCATCATCACATTCAGGCTGGCGCCGTAAGTTTTTTTCTTTGTAAAGCATTGAGCATAGCAATTATTATATGGTGAAATTCTTTTGGTACTATCTAATTTTACTTCGGGGGCGAGAGCCTCTGTGTTCCGTCTGATATTGGTTATTTTCAGGGTTGAACTCCGACAACAAACAAGGTCCGCTGGCGTAATGGCAGCGCGTCTGACTACGATTCTTCAAGATTCAACTCATCAGGAGGTTCCAGGTTCGACCCCTGGGCGGATCGTCCAACATTTGACCACTCATTGAGTGAATTCTTTGGCTTTTTTGAGCTCTTTTGTGGCGGTGGAGACCTTGCTTTGATGCTTGGGGTGGCCCCTGAATCTCCGGATAACTTGCACAGCTCACAACTCTGGGGGATGGGAACCTCTCTTTTTGGCTGGATGATGATAAAAGACCAGCTTCCTCTCCTAGGGCCGTTACAATTAGTATATGACGGCTCCAATAGAATGTAGTTTCCACCAAGCAGATGCCGGAAATCCAGTACCTGGTAACGTGAGCTCCAAAAGCAACACAAGCTGTACTAGAAATTGTTACATGATAGCTATCGGTATGCACATAACCAAGTGACCTGGTTTCGAGAAGCGCATGCCTCTGTAGTCCTGTAAGTACGACAACTCAATACTCATTAGAGACTCGTCATATTTGACACCTGTTCGTCACCGCGCCATTCTCTCACCTCATCGGTTCCCAAAGTCTCTTCTTCTCCAGTTTCTCGATCCTGACCGACTTGCTGATCGAGCGACCGTGCCAACGGCCGGAATACGACATCCCATTTCCCACCTTCCCGTCTTCCAGCCATCAAACGCCCTTCAAGATCTCTCGAGCCCGTGTGTTCGCATCATCCTTCACCAAACACCACGAAATACTGGGTGACTTGGTGACACAAACACAACCCTCACTACATGAACTCCAACACACAGGCATGCAACCCCGCCCGGCTGGTACCACCGCGATGATTGACCGGCGTCGAGCCGCTGCGGCGCACTCATCGATGCAACAGCAATCAGATGGAAGGAAGGGGTCAGAGCCCTACAAGCTTCAAGCTTTCCATGGTTCAGACCACTCGGGGAAGCAATCCGGTGTCGATCCTTGAGCGGGATCTGGGAGGCGGGAGCGGGAGCGCGATCTGAAACTCGTTGCTAATCTTTTCCTCCCGCTCCCGTGCGTGTGTTCTAGTCTGGTCTGTGTGTCCGTCCCTACCTATTATCACCGGTGATATGTCTGATCGATCGCAGATGTGAGATAAACCTCACCGAAATCGGCACCGTAAATTTTTGAGGAAGGTCGGTATGCAAGGAGCCACGCGAAGACTACCATGACAAACCGCAGCGGTCGCTGTTACCTTTGATGGCCGTGGCAGAACATGTTGTTGAGGAGGTGAAAGCTCGGACATTTTCTTCCTTTTCTGTGTCGATGACGGGCTGGACTGGATCGAGATTCGAGACCGGGCAGATCAGGCTGTCAAAGCATCCTCCAGAAGGAACAGCCGGGGCTTTCTCGGCCCGGAGATAACTTCCCGCGGATGTTACTTGCCTTACACGAAGACTCTGCCAGAGAGAGCCAGAATCGAATGAGGCGGGCAGAGGACTGAGCAGTTACGTACGGACATCGGGGCCTTCCGTTCTTGAAGTTCATCATCGAACGACAGTACGTTACCTATCTTACCCACAAGATCAGATCACACATCAAACCTCAACTCCCTTCCCATCAATCAATATCGAACCCTCCCCGCTTTCCTTCGGCCGTTTGCTCGCTTGCCCGCATCACTGCACATGCAAAAAAAGAAAAACGCGGGGAAAAACTACACGCCATATCATGCCATTGCCGTTGACAGATCGACGATTTTGACGTGCTTGACTCTTCCCCCCCAAAAAAAGACACACTAAAACAAGGACGCTACTGCACCTCTTACCGTTGTCGCCGTTGTCAACGGCCGCAACGGCCGGCGGGATGGTGTCGAAATAGTAATTGAAGCGGGTCCTCCCGTGCGCCGACCGACGCTATCCTCAGATCATGATTTGTTGAAACTTACATCCACCCCCCAACAACAAACTTGGAAGCGCCACCTCCACAATTTTTTCGATTCCAACGAGCAATGGGGAAATCCTGATGAGATATCGGGGCAGATGGGCTGATACGGGGAGAGATGATGCGATTCTGGCTTCTCCACGTGGGGTAAATGGTTCGATGATCTTTGGGGCATCTCTGGGCAACGTCACTTTTTTATGTACCTTACCTACGCGTACAGCTTACCTATGTACATATGTGCAGTAAAGGCAAGCATCGGATCAGATCCGGACCTACAGGAGGTGAGGTGTGCCTTGCTTTTATTGGAGGTGCGGAGAAAATGTACCTACTTTACTTTGCAGGGCAGGATTTCGAGGGGAAGAGGGAGGGAGGGTGGATGTAACCTGGGCTTTTTACACACCCTGAGGGGGATAACCTCCCGTCACGTCTCTCAGATGAAGTTTCGTCAACACCGGATATACCGAGAGTTGTGACGGAAAAATTTCTCTAAGTGACAGTGTCTTTTGAGAAGATGTCAAAATAGCAAAATAACGTTCAACGAAAACGATATGGAAAAGAAACAAACTGCCACACTTGCAAACAAACCCCCTGCCCAGTCTTGCCCTCTTTGCACCATGCTTGCATATGCCGTCGCCCCATATGCACCCCGACCAACTCGGTGCAAGAGTTCCATTTTCCATAGCATCAAGCTATTCACCGCGAACCGAAAAAAATGACAAACAAGCTAAAACAGAAAATGAGCTCGATTCGAGACCGGTGAAGGAACCATCCCTACAGCACAGGACAACCCTGATTAGGAGATCTCGGCCGTTTTTTCTTGTCTTGGATGTTGTGCAGATATGGATGGCATCATAGACTTGAACAATTCCCAGCCAAATCCCAGAGTCAAAAACAAGACACTACATTTTCTCGTACGAGATACCTAGTGATAACTGAATAAGAAGAACAAATGACGCAAAATCCCATCTATTATTTTGTGTGCACTACATACACTAGTAAAAACAGATCGCCCCGGCCGCCGGTCACCTACCCCCCATCCGTCCCAACCTGCATATTCCGCAGACCCTTCTAGAGTTTCTTTGCATCCATACAGCACCATCCACCTCTCCATCTTTACCACAGTAACCTTGCGAAAAATGCCCAGACGTTGTAGCATGCTACACTTAATCTAATTAATCCTCCGACAGACACACTCAGCCTCCGTACGTACCTAAACTGAAAAACGCTAGATTAATTAATTGGATTTTTTTGTAATGGGATTGATTGTCCTTGCATAAAGCACCTACATAGATTGGTATGTAGATAGACAGGACAAGATGGTCCGCCCGATCAGCCAGCCGGCCGGCCGGCGAGCGGTGTTAATGTAACTGCCCGGAATTTATCTATTTGTCTGTGGGGTTTTCTTGCGCCCCAGTAATATTGTCAGGAGTCAACAAGGCGAGAGAAACAAGACAGAGAGACAGTTTGCAATGCTGCGACTACCCGCTATCAGTGATACCTCCGCCAGCCCTGCTTTGCTTGCCGTATCACTTCTGAACAGAAGGGGAAATACGCGGAGTAGAATTATTTTTGGCTGGGTTTCAGGTTGAAGGGTGATAATGCATTTACTTGCCTTTCTGCCTTTTCACGGGCTGAATTGACATAGATCCCCAGGCTCTACGAGACTGACTACCAGGGCCAAAGTTGGCGAACAGCATCAAAGCGGGTGCTTCGACATCCCCAGACAGCCGCTGCCGTTAGATAAGGGGCCACGTTGCAACCAAAATCGCTTATGATAGCCGCCGCTCGGCAACAAACGTCTCGACCCTCGGGCATAAACACCTCTCTCCTTCTCACCGTCGGCACAATTGCTTGCTGATTGCGTGATGTGTACACATCCCCCCTGCATTTTCCCAGGCACAGAACGCAACGTTGTGGTACTCTATCCGATCCCCCGATCCCGATCGCTGAAGACACCCTTTTTTTTCCTTCGCAAGCACGCACCTGAATCATTGGAAGACGAAACCTGAGTTGGCCCGATATCTGTGGAGCCGACCCGTTGTTCCTCCACCCCAGGTAGCGAGCGGGTCGCCGTAACGGTTGCGTGGGGGCGGGCGCAGCGGGTTTCAGTGAGCCGAGTTGTATCTAGAAGGCCCGACAGCTGCAAGGTTTATGATACGCGGTCGTCGTCGTCGTCGCTGTCTTCCTTGTCGTTCTCTGCACCACCATCATTTTTATCGTCATCATTACTTTCAATCTGGTCGGCATCATCCTCGCTATCGTTGACAACTAGGGTCGCTTCCGGGTCTCCGTCGTCCGATTCTTCCTCTCGCACGCCCTCATCGAGCGCGTCCGCATTGCTCTCCGGCGCCCGAGTGAGCAAAATGTCCTCGCTGCCTTGCCATTGCGAGGGCATGGGTGGCAACGCATCTGGTTCAAGATCCCAACCGTAATCCTCGTCGTCGCCCTCATCTTCGCTATCAGCGATCTCAAAGCCGGTGTCCCCGAGTTTCCGTTTTTGGGCACCTGCCGGAGTTGACATCGTCTTCAAAGGACTTGAAGTCTGGTCGTATTCCACCGGAACTAACCCGGCCTTTTTACAGGATAGTTAGCAAAGAGTTTGCCACGATGAACCTAGACACGAGAAGTTCGGAACTTACCGCTTCGATATGGAAGCCGCAAAGGGCTTCTGCATCATCCACATGCTTATCCACACCATTCAGCTTTTGAATGAAGGCAAAATGAAGCGCGGTGGAGGTCTCAAAGTCATCCTGAAGTCGGTCTCGGAACAGTGCAATTCTGGTTGCGATCCCTTGTCTCCAAACGCTTGCATTGATAGCGGGGACCAAGGTTGCACTGCGTTCCGTCTGCAACTTGGTGGCGCACTGCGTGAGGATGACAATAGCCACATCCCGGGTTGCTGCCAGTTTCTGAAGGTTACTCAAAATGTAATGAAGTGCCTGGATTCTGCGTTCTGCAGGTATTGGTGCTACACGCAAAGTCAGTCTCAGTCTTGTTGGATCTCCGCGTTAGAGACGTACCTCGGGTATCTTTGTGCTTTGTCTGAGGTGCCTGCCTCGAGTCTGTATTCTTGAGGAGGTCATGGTTTACCAAGGCCGAAAGAGAGTCAATGACAATAAGTGATGTTCCCTCTGGGACACAAGAAGCCGTGGGCCGGCACAACAGGGCTATGAGATGAACAAAAGTCGGGCAGCT